CAAAGGCATAATGCTTTAATGTCTAGCATTGTGTTACAGAAAAAAAAAATCAATATGCATAAGTGGATGTAATTGGGCCTGGAATTGTATACTCACATCTTGCACTAATGGCCATTGAATCAATGGAATTTCTTCTGTTTAAACATGTATAGGATTGTGTTGCAAGTTTAGCTGTTGCAAGCATTTCTTTTTTTAGAATAAATAACATCATTTAAGTTTTCTAAGGGAGATGGAGTGTATTAACAAATCACCGATATATAATAAATACTGAATATGCTCTAGAATTCTCTATTCCCTAAGCTGTATTATCTTTACCTGATAGCCCTCCATTGGACTATTACAAGTCAGTTTGTAGTGACTTGTTAGTTTTACTGTTTTGCTTTTATGATTTCTATATTGATCTTCTACTATTTCTATAATGATCTTTCAAATATTTTTATATTTTAATTTCTTTCCCCTTTTAAAGGAAATATATGATCCTTATTTTAAGTTTAAGTTTAAATATCCATAATGCCTTTAAGATGCTATGAGCTTTATATAATACAGCTCTCAAGGCAACCATTTTCATCTTTGTTCCGAGATCCTCAGGGAGAATCTAATCTTTTAATGTGTTGCTTCAAATAGTCATGTAACACTGTAAGATTAGATAAAAACAGTCAAATTGATCAACATTCAGAAAATTTAAGCAGACACAGCCTCTTTTGCATGCATCTCCAATTCACAATACATAGTGTACTGATACTGAAAATGAAATTTTGCTTTATTTCATATCATTGTATCTCCGCTCAGAGTCTAGATGAGAGTCCAGTTAATCCACCCTCACCCCCCAGTTACTCTGAGCTTTCTAAAAAAAGAGCTGGGTACATAAATACATTTTATTGTAACAAAGAGAATGATAGAATCAGAATTAATTATATAATCAAATATTGAAATACATGATTTCTAGGAGAAATAAAGGTAGGGAAGCAATTATTGAAGTATAGTGACATTGGTTCACTGGAAAAAGCTGAAAAATGGTCTCCTTGGAGTCTGCTTTCTCTTACAACTTGCTCCTCTTCATATCTGTTTCCACAACAGAGAGAGAGGGCTTGTCAGCATTGTCTAACCATGTGTCAGAGAATCATACACTTGGAAGGGACCATGTAAACCATAGGTTCAACCTCCTGCTCGGTGCAAAAGTCCAAATAAAAGTATCCCTGACAAATGTCTGTCCAGCCTACTTGAATACATGCAGTGAAAGGAAGCAATCATCTTCCTAGGTAATTGGTTCCACTGTCACATTCTTATTTTTAGAGGTTTTCTTAACACTAAATGGATTGTTATTTAAGATTATTATTCCATGCCCTATAATCTGGGACAATAGAAAACAACTTGCATCTTTCTTCTCTGTGACACACCTTCATATTCTTGAAGAATGGCATCATGTCCCTGCTCTGTTGTCTTTTCTCAGGACTAAACATACCCAGTTGCCTTAATCTCTCTTTATAGGATTCAATTTCTAATCCTGTGTTCATTCTCACTGCCATTTTTGCATGAGGTCCTGTGGTTTAAATCTTTTGAAAAGTGTAGTAAACTCTATGCTGTTTTGCAGATTTAGCTATTCCCCCTCTCCCCCTGCAATAAAAATAATTAAAATTAGACAAACATTATTGCTTCTTTCTTTAGTTCAGAAGTAGAAAATTGGAAATTTAGATTTTCTTTTAATTCTTCTCACAAGAACCATATTTTCTACCCCTTTCCTTACTATTACAGGTAGTCCTCGAGTTATGACAAAATTGGGACTGGGATTGCTGTCGTTAAGCAATGTGGTTGTAAAGCATCATGTGACTGCATCGCTTAGCGACAGCAATCCAGGCAGTCCCAGTTGTGGGTCATTAAGTAGGAAGCAGAGGGAGTCCTAGGTAAGGAGCATAGGGGTGCCAAAGGGGGGTGGGGAAGGCCCTGGGAGGCTTGGCACAGGGCCCACACAAGTTGGGGGAGGGGGTGCTCAGTGTGGCATGAGCTCAGAAAAGCCGGGGAATGAGAGCATGGGGTGCATACAGTTGCAGGGAAGCCAAGGAAAGAGGGTGCAGGATGCATGTGATCACAGGGAGGCCATGGAAAGAGGATGCAGGGTACGTGTGTGCGTGTGTGCAGTTGCAGGGAGGCGGTGAAAAGAGGACGCGGGGTGTGTGTGAGCAAAGGGGGCAAGGAGGGTATGATGCCTGTGAGCGAAGAAAGGCAGGCAGGAACTTACCCCAGCGACTTGTGACCTTCCTTGCCAGTTTCCCATTGACTTTGCTTGGGGGAAGCCGGCAGTGAAGGTTGCAAATGGTGATCATATAATCATGGGGCGCTTGGCAAATGGTTGTAAGTGTGAATGGGTTGGCAAACACCCCAACCATGATCATGTGACCTTGTGAGTGCTGGCATGGCTGCAACTTCAAGGATCAGTTGTAAGTCTGCTTCTGCAGACATGCTTCTGTGTTCTGCTCCTGAGTGGGCAGTTCCATTTTGTAATCATGGGGGCAGTGCTTGAAGCCATATTGCTCTAATGTGGGGTCCCACAGGTTCCAGGCTCTCCCCTATGTTATTAATATTGAAGCTACTGGGAAAGGTTATCTGGCAGTTTGGGATGAAGTGTCACCAGTATGTGGATGATATTCAGATGTACATTGCCACTCTAGCTTGGACCAAGGATATGCTGTAGAAAGCTTGAATAGATGTCTGGAGGCTGTCAGGGTCTGGATGAGGCAAAATACACTTAGACCAAATGCTTCCAAGCCCAAATTGCTTTTTAGGAGCTTTAGCTCATGTATTTAATCAGAATGAGGTGGCACTCTTGCTGAAGGAATTGGTTCATGATCTGGAGTCCTAAATTCATGGCTACTGCTTAAGCAGTAGGTAGAGTGGTCAACGTAGCCTTTGTCAAGCTTTGATTAGTGCACTAATGAAGTACCTGCACTAGGAGTATCTGATGCTTTTATCACTACTTGGTTGGATTATTCTAATGTATTGTATATGGGTCGGGTTTTGGCCCAAAATCTAGAGGCTGTCATAATAGAATAATGCCACTATTGAGGTCATTGCACTGGTTACCAGTAGGTTTTCAGGCCCAATTCAGAATGCTGGTAATGACCTGCAGAGCCCTTTACAGTGCAGCACTGGACTACATCAGGCACTGCCTTGCCAGGGTTAAATCTGACTATCCAATAAAAATATCACAAAAAGGCCTGCTTAAAGTCCCCACTCAGGGTGAGGTGAGAGAGACACAGACCAATACAGGTCTTCTCTATTTTGGCTTCTGTATTTTAGAACTCCTTCTCTCCAGGTGGTTAAACAACCCCTTTTCTCCTGACATTTTGTAATGCTGTTAAAACAACACTATTGCGCCATGCTTTTTTGGTGGCCATCTAGTGGATTTCTATTAATTGTATACATTTCATTTTGTTTTTATTCAATATTTTTATGCTGTTGTATCTATCCA